GAGAAGCAAGAGAGAGATAGAGATTTTCATTTCTTTTCTCTTTCAGTTTAACTTACTTAGCTAGCAAATGCCTACTCAAACACCCTGTTCAAACAGAGGAATGATATATCCAACACAACACTGGTACTCTTCCAAGTCAAGGTAAGCTTTTGGTTTTACCAATTTATTGCCACCGGGCCTGCCGGTGTAACTGCTAAACTGCTTACTGACTACACTGTAACGTTACTGCTGGACTGTAGCGGGTTAACTAACGCGTTAGTTCTATTAGCTATGTTGACTATGACGTTACTTTATCTAATACGGTGACAACATTGTAGGCTGTGTGTGGCGGTTTTGATATGGTTAGGCTTGGAAAGGTTTTTTCGCCTGGTCACATACAGCTAATGTGTTGTGCATTGAAGTCCACAAACGAAGGAATACAACGTGGCTTCTATGAAAGTGAACTGTGTTTACACGTGATCAGGGGTGTATTCATTTCGCCGATTCTTTGAAAGAAAGCAAACAGAGCAAACGGAACGGGGATAAACATACCTGAATTTGTCCAATAGAAACTCTTTTTTACATTTCCATTTTTAGTCATTTAGCAGACGCTCTTATCCAGAGCAACTTACAGTTAGTGAATACATATTTTTTTTTTTTCATACTGGTCCCCCGTGGGAATTGAACCCACAACCCTGGCGTTGCAAACGCCATGCTCTATCAACTGAGCTACATCCCTGCCGGCCATTCCCTCCCCTACCCTGGACAACGCTAGGCCAATTGTGCGCTGCCCATGAGTCTCCCGGTCGCGGCCGGCTGCGACAGAGCCTGGATTCGAACCAGGATCTCTAGTGGCACAGCTAGCACTGCGATGCAGTGCCTTAGACCACTGCGCCACTCAGGAGTTTACTCTTGTTTGCAATTGTTGGACTAATGAGTACTAGATCAGCTAGATGAAGGCAAGAGTGTGCAAGAGTGTTTAAACCTACTTTGTAAACTTTCATTCATAGGCTAGGTTGTAGCAACCTCATGATGGGTATAGGGAAAAGTCAAGTATCATGTAGTAGCCTAAACCTATTGATGTTACGTTGAACTGGGTGAATGGAATATGAATGACAGTCATCCAATATGCTGTAATGGAAATAAGGCCAAGCTCATGAAAAAAATGGTTTCCTCCCTCTTCATAAACGGCACCGGCAGCTAGAGACATGCTTTTACCTTCCCGCTGATGCCCACCCATCCACCCCGACCAACCACCCTCCTTTCGTTTTTGCCTTAAGTAACCTTCTGTCTTATGTAACCATACCAAATGTAACATATAATACTAATTTGAGTGTACCTGATATACATTTACTATTTACTATGTTACGTCTAGTCTATGAGAACAGGCTGTGCATACACATCTCCAGCATCTAAAGTGCCGCTAGAGAGACATGCTTTTACCTTCCCCACACTGAGACTCGAACAATGGAGTGCTAGGTGGAATTTCATTTTAATTTGAACATAGCCCATCGATTGGCACAATGCCCACTCCTCACAATATGATGTCTCCCCCTACCTCGATCTCTTTGCTTAGAATGCAATATTGCCATTGTGGGACCCACAACACATAGAGAATGTGAGTTTTGGCAGTGTACAATCAAGGTTACTGCTGCCAAAAGGTTCACAACTATTATGACTTTATAAGACCCCTACATGACCCAGTGTTTTCAAATAAATAACATGTATTTAAGTGAATGAAGTGGTTAAAATGTTTATTACGTTCTCTGATTAATTGAGATGGAGAAAAGCTTCCCTTTATCTTCACTAGAAGGCACGTTTTACTCTCATAAAATCTCCTTTTCAATCTATTTTTGCTATTAAGGTTAGACAAGTGTAGCGTGAAGTAAATATAAATGTCATTACTGTGGAGGACAGAGGCAAAATTATACCAAAATAATTGGGCAGACTATCTAGTTTTTTCACTATATTTTAGAATTGGCCACACAGTCCTTAAAAAACCTATATGCAGAGCTAGTGTTGTACTGCCCTCCAGTGGAAAGTATCAAAAGTGCATGTTTTTAGTTGAGCTCGCCACTAGGTCATACTGCACTGAACAAAAATATAAACACAACAATTTCAAAGATTTTACTGAGATACAGTTCATATAAGGAAATCAGTCAATTGCAATGAATTCATTAGGTCCTAATCTATGGATTTCACATGACTGGGACTACAGATACGCATCTTTTGGTTACAAATAACCTTTTAAAGTAGGGGCGTGGATCAGAAAACAAGTCAGTATCTGGTGTGACCACCATTTGCCTCATGCAGCACGACACATCTCCTTCACATAGAGTTGATGAGGCTGTTGATTCTGGCCTATGGAAAGTTGTCCCACTCCTCTTCAATGAGCGAAGTTGCTGGATATTGGCGGGAACTGGAACACGATGTCATACACGTCAATCCAGAGCATTCCAAATATGCTCAATGGGTGACATGTCTGGTGGGTATGCAGGCCATGGAAGAACTGGGACATTTTCAGCTTCCAGGAATTGTGTACAGATCCTTGTGACATGGGGCCATGCATTGTCATACTGAAACATGAGGTGATGGCGGCAGATGAATGGCACGACAATGGGCCTCAGGATTTCGTCACGGTATCACTTTGTTTTCAAATTGCCATCAATAAAATGCAATTATGTTCGTTGTCCGTAGCGTGTGCCTGCCCATTCCATAACCCCACTGCCACCATGAGGCACTCTGTTGACAACATTGACATCAGCAAACCGCTCACCCACATGACACCATACATGCCCGGTACAGTTGTAACCAGGATTCATCCGTGAACAGCACACTTCTCCAGCTTGCCAGGGGCCATCGAAGTCGGTTACAATGCCGAACTGCAGTCAGGTCAAGACCCTGGTGAGGACAACGAGCACGCAGATGAGTTTCCCTGAGACAGTTTGTGCAGAAATTATTTGGTTGTGCAAACCCACAATTTAATCAGCTGTCCGGGTGGCTGGTCTCAGACGATCCCGCAGGTGAAGAAGCTGGCTGTGGAGGTTCTGGGTTAGCATGGTTACATGTGGTCTGCGGTTGTGAGGCCGGTTGGATGTACTGCCAAATTCTATAAAACGACTTGGAGGTGGTTTATGGTAGAGCAATTAACATTAAATTCTCTGGCGGACATTCCTGTAGTCAGCATGCCAATTGCACGCTCCCTCAAAACTTGAGACATCTGTGGCATTGTGTTGTGTGACAAAACTGCACATTTTAGTGGCCTTTCATGGTCCCCAGCACAAGATGCACCTGTGTAATGATCATGCTGTTAAATCAGCTTCTTGATATGCCATACATGTCAGGTGGATGGATTATCTTGGCAAATGAGAATTGCTCACTAACAGGGATGCAAACAAATTAGTGCAATACATTTGAGACAAACATGCTTTTTGTGCGTATGGAACATTTCTGGGATATTTTATTTCAGCTCATGAATCATATGACCAACACTTTACATGTTGCGTTTATAGTTTTGTTCAGTATACATCTGTATTTCATAAAATCATCAGGTAAAAACATGCAAATGGTCATGTGAGATTAAATGTTTTCCAATTTAACACATGGCTAATGGAGAAAATAGGTGTGGGTGGGATCAAATGTAGGATTAATAGCACACTACATACATAAAATATATTATTCTTATAAAAGGAGTGCACTTAAGGCAAAAAAAGAAAAATAGATAGACATGACCACCTCAGAATAAACAGTGCATAACATGATTAGAGTTAAAGGGATCAGTTTATTAAGACATATAAGACATTAGTACATTTAAGAGCGATAGATTTGACGGACTAAATAGCTTTGCCTGTGAATTAGTGAGTAATCCCTTGTAACAAGATGAACTAAAAACATATATGTAACTGATGTGCAGTATAGTGATTGAAGACATTGAAGTTAAGCTGTAAATAAGCCACTTTGGCTGTTGGCATCAAAGTTGTGCTCTTTGCAAGGATGCTGTGTCCAGTTATTAAATCATGCAATTTTACATAAATTAGCTTACCAATATGCCATTGGGTCTAAGTTAGTGTCTCAACACTGAAGTGAGAGACAAGAAATGTAACAGTAAGATCCATACAAGGCTATAGACCCCTTTCTGTGTTTGCAAACATTGCCACCACGAGGGCGTTGCACACAAGTTGGTGGCAGAACAAGGAGGAACGGCAGTAAAAAAAAAAAAGCCTCTATTTACATGTAGTTTATGAGTGCATTTCACACTAATTTCAAATGATAATTGGATTTTATGGCTCATATGAATGTCCTGCTTAATATGTTTGTGTCATACTTAAAGCACTTAAACCAGTAAAATGGCTCTTTGGCTTTTGCTACAGCCGGAATCAATGAGCGTTAGCATTCTAGCTAACAACTGATGTATGAAAAAATTATTTTGCAAAAGATCACAACCAAATATAATCTTAGCCACTGTTCGAGCAAGAATCAGAACATAATTGTAAGGGGATGAGCACCCTAAAGTTATTTTGTTTAGAAGTAATAAAAACGTTAAATCTAGGCTGTTGAATGGGCACAGATGGCAATGGCCGTCTTACTGCCACCAAGAGTCGCGCGCATCTGTGCGTTACGTCAGTGTGTTATGTACTGGAAAAGGGTCTATAGAACAGTATCTCGAATAGCATTAGCCATAGCACACATTCTTATAAGCAAATATCTGGTTCCAAGTTGGATTTACACAAAATAACCACAATGCTTAAACCAAACAAATCAGGCTTGGAAATTTTGGTCAAAGTTCACAGGCAATTTATTGAAAAAGACTCACATATTGAAATTGTATATTTCAGTTATTGAATGACATCTTCCAATCTACTACCAGCAAATAGAAAATAAATGGCAAAAAAATTCTCAATCTCTCGAATTTTAGTATTGATACTTGATAATACAGAGTTCATTGTACTTAGAGGAAAACAAACTTATTTAAAGGTAGACTCTCCCTCATCGCAATATCTGCGGTGCTGCTTGTAGCAACGTCATTTCGCTGAGTCTACCTTTAATTGAAGGAAAATAATTTTCTAACTGCAAGCCAACAGCAGACATCTTAACAGGTCTTTCATTTGCTTTCTGGCACATAAAATACATGTCCTTTCACAGAAAAGACAATCTGATATGATATTAAGGCAGCGTATTTATCACAAAAACAGTAAACATTTCAGAGGAAATTGTTTGATATCACCAATGCTCAATTATGACAGCTTTGGACACTAGAACTTTGTCCAACACTACAATAGCAATAGTTGATTTGTTCATAGTTATGACATAAGATGGTTAAAGCATCTCGGAAAAGCTGAATTCACTTTTTCGGCTTGAAGCATTTCTCCTTCTCAAACTGAGCTATTTGGCTGAAGATATCTAGGAGATTAGTTGACAGCTCTTTATTTCCTCCTGCAGATCCCTTACCATTCAGAGAGGCCTCAGTGGAAGACCTGTTATCCCCTACATCAGACCGTCGGGTGGCCCTATTCTTCTCTCCTCGCTCTGTGCGACCATACCTCCCACTATCTGATCGTCTGTAAGTGGATATGTGGGACTGTGACGGGAGCTCGTTGGCGTACCGGTCAGATTTGCAGGAATGCTCTGAGCTGGCAGATGAGGACATTCTTCTGTGTTTGACTTTCTCCAATGAGCTGGGAACTTCTTGTGGGCCACTTTGATCCTCCTGGCCCTGGCTCTTCCAATGGCCCCTGGAGGCTTCCCTCTCCCTCCCATTCACCTCCCCATCACTGGTCTTGTCACTTCGGACACCTTTCCCCTTGCTGCTCTCAGCTCGCTGAGGAGAGCCGTCAACAGGGCCATCTTCAAACCTACCTCTGCTGTTGTCCGGAGCGTCTGTGGACACTGATGATAAAGAGCGATGCCTGCCTTTGCTGTGGTGCTGACTATGCTCTTCAGTCCTCTCTGGCCCCTCAAACGGCTGGACAAAGCTACATTTCTGATCCAGGAAGGAGGCAGAGGTGTTGGGTGGGGCAGGGTACCACTCCTCCTCGTCATCAGACACACTCCTGTTGTTCCTGGATGAAACCCTCTGCTTGAGTTTCTCCCCTCGAGATGACCGTCTGCGTTTGCGCTTCTTTTTCTTTGACTTCCTGTGCCCAGAGGAGGAGGAGTGGTCGGACGAAGAGGAGGTGGAAGACGATGATGTTGATGAAGAGGATGATATCTTCCGTTTCTTTTTCATTCTAGAGGGAGTTATAGCAAAGACTGAAACTATGTAGCTACAATATCAAATTAGGTGATATTGGTGACCAACTTAAAATGATGATTGATATTTAGCCAAATTAAATTACGTGTATGCATTTTGTTTTAAAAGGCAACCGATGAGCTGACAGTTTACCTTCCTGACGTTGGATTGGTATGGATTTACCTTTTTTCTTCTTTCAAGATCTTACGCAATTTTTCTGCACTTGTCTCCACATTCTTAGCTTTTTCCGCTTCCTTTGCAGCTGCCTCTTCTCTCAGTTTGAGGGATTTCTTTAAAGCAGTCAATTTTCATAGTAAAATTGCACCCGATTTCAAGATTCAAGAATTCAACACACATGGGAGGAAACCAGGAATGTGAAAAACATTAATCCATTAATTTGGATGGACAAGGAAAATGGCACATACAGACAAGTTTACCATAGCATGATCCAGAAATAATATTTATAGGTAGAGAACAAATGGCAATTTTTCCAGGTGGACAAAAAGGGTTTACATTTACCGCATTGAGACCAGGTCCAGCGTACCAACCATTTTCATTCCAGTTGTAAGGTTGTTTGTTCCCCCAATAGACACGCGACAATCAAGGAAGTCGGGTAGAGTCAAAGGGCAGAGTCCCAGATTGCAGACACGCACACAACAAAACACTTCATCAGTATTACAAGGCTCCCTGTGTGTTAGGCCAAACACACAAACTCATACAACAAAATTACTTTTAACTGGCCCCTTTTCAAATGTTCATGTTCAAATATGTCAAGTAAACAGAAAGTATTAGTCATATGAGGGTGTTAAAACAGTCAGAAACCGACTTTCCAATCGAAGCCTAGCTTCTTAAATGGGAGACAAGTGGAATAGTTGGCATAACCCATGGAATGTTCCAGCTCACCTGGATAAGTAGCTCTATTTTTCTCAATGCTTCCTTGGCATCCGGGAAGGAGTCTTCTAAGGCCAGGGCTTTTCTGTAGAGGCCCTCAGCTGTGACTAACTTTTCTTCCTCCTCCAGTCTAACAGAGGGAAACAAGTATTTTAGAGAGGAGGGGTTGTCACTTAGAAACACAGGATGAGGGAAAACCTTCCTACTTACTGGCCACCTCGCTCTACCAGGGTCTGGCATAGGTATTTCTTAGCATTTCTGTGGGTTGGGCAACTTTCCAATGCCAGCTCAAAGTCTGTTATTGCCTTCAGCAAACTCCCTTTGTTGGCATACCTGGGAAAAATCAAATGGCAGGTTTATATTAGCTTTTTAGTAATTTAGCAGACGCTCTTATCCAGAGCGACTTACAGTTAGTGAGTGCATACATTTTCATTAGCTGTAGGACAACTACATTTTATGTTACAATTAAAAACATATTTAAAAAACTAACTAGCAGAGTGTAGGCTGGGAGTGCTGACTATTACATTATCAATCAAATTAGATGGATACTCACAGTGCACCACGTGCCACAAGGGCTTCCACATTGTTAGTGTCAATATTTAAGGCCTTATTATATTCATTCATTGCGTCGACGTGGCGACCAGACTTGAAGTGGTCCACACCAACCCTCACACTGTAACGCAAGACATAATGTATATTGACAAAACAAAGCGCGATCAGGAGCAGTTCATGCATTCTGTAAACAATAGGCTAGCACAGATCTAGTCACCTGCTGCTCTAATGTTCTCCAACATGCAGAGAGTTAAAATGTCAGGCATACCATTTAAGAGCCCAGGACGCAGACTGCTTCTTTCGGATAGTTGTGGCAAAGTCCTCCTCAAGGAAATGTTTGCTGTAAAGGAGAGTCCCAAAATACAGTCGTGCTGATAAAAGGGGGCAAGGGGTATCAATTTCTGGGAAGCGTGTCTGCTGAAGAGTGTGACAAAACAACAAATTTGTCTTCTCACCTCTGTAGCCCTCTCATGAGTGAGGGAGGCTGTGTGTCACTGATCCCAATCTTGCCCAGGAGATACTCCACGTTAGACGGGTTGGAGTATCCAAGAGTACCCTCTAAAACCCTCTCATAGGTTTCAGTGTTGTCGTTGGCAACCCTCACACTGCGACTGGGTAAAACAATGAAAACAATACAATGAGCAAAGAATTAGCCTAAGGTCTAGCGGAACTATTTTTCACCTTATGTTTTCTGCCAATTAGAATACGTCTGTCTTACCTGTATTGAAGTGGAAGATCATCTCTACTAAAAACTCCAAGCTTTAGGCTCATCAGGTTTGGGGCGAGGGAGGAGGGCTGAAGTGAAATGGTTATCTTCTCATGGTATCGGTCAATATCCTTCACTCCAGCTAGAGCACAGCACATGGTATATGGGTCAGTTTGTTGACTTTTATCACAAAACGGCATTGTGAACATGTTTACATTTACTACACATAGTTAGCTAGTGCACTGTGCATTAACCTCTTATCAAATCGTTAATCTGATAGTACGATAGCGGATCGTCATGATTGCCATTGGAAGGTACATCTCTAAGGGGACACAGGGCCTGAGGAGAGAAAGAAAGCAGAGAAAGAGGTTACCATGTGCTCCTATTTCTTCAATACAAAACACTGAGCACCAGGCCAAAGCCACAAACCTTACCGTGAGCTCCAGATCCTCTATGTCTCTCTCTAGTCCACCTCCCATGCAGATCAGTGTTACAAAGAAGCCAAAATCCCTGATGGAGTTGATCCTGCCTATCACGATGTCCCCTCGCTCCATGTCCCTGTACAACAGATTCCTCCGCTCCTCAAATGACACCTCCATGAACTGCTCCAGAGGGGGCATGATGGCGTAGGGCTCTAGGAAAAGGATATTAGGCCAAACTCAATACAATATGTTAATTTACCTCTACATTTGACAGTAACAGCTACCTTCCCCTTCCTCCTCCAACACATCCTCCACCGTTGCACTGGATTTCCATGATGGTGCAAATAGGATGTCAGCTTTTCTAGCAATGAACTGCTCCACTAAGGCATTGTCCTCCCCTCCATCTTTCCTGTAAAAGATAGATATTAATGATAATGTTAAAATGGTCTGGAAATTTGCCATTGACATTGTTGGTGTTGCCAACTTGGTGTTCCATTAGCCTACATTTGGATTCAAAATGTTAGTTAAATCACTGTACTGTCCATTTAAAATTACCTTTGATAGCTGGCCTTGGACAAGTCCGGTTCAATAGCTTTGAAATCTGGATTTTCACTTTGTTCACATTTGAGATGGGTAAACAGGCTTTGTCCATGGTGAGACAAAGTCTGCCTCAGTAAATCTCTATCCATTTTCAGTTCTTCGCATCAGAATTCAGCCTGGTTAGCTACTATGCACAACATCCTGTAACAGAAGAAAAACATGGCATATATAGCTAGCTAGTAGCTAGCCCAATAATGGACTAAAGGAGCCTTGCGTTACTCTGTATAGTCCAAGGACCTGACAATTTCTGTTTAAATATAATACTTGTGGTACGGTTCTAGAAACATACACCCCTATACTTTCATATCACATCAAAATAAACCACTCAGTCATCCGTCTGTGTAAACAAGTGCTGTAACATGGAAATACGGCCGTGTGGGAACGCTAACCCTATAAAAGTGTGTATCAATTTAACCTTTTATTTTTTGAAAATTATTTCTCACTGATATGAAATATAAGGTACTTATGCTTCCAAAACAGTACCGCAAGCGATGCGTGTTAATGTTCAGACCGAGAGTCCTGGCTATTAACAAAACTCCCCCGTGCAGAAGACGCCTTCGTCCAACAATTACTTGTGTATGGAACAGCGAGTCATGATCAAGGACTAACTAGTAGTTAGCCAATAATCACAAATACAATTACAATTACATTTAACACAGCCAGCCAGCAATTTACGAGAGCAACATGCATAACTAACTAAGTTAGCCAGCTGTAAATATACGTCATGGCCAAAGACAGGTTTTGAAACTGTGTTAATATGGCTCTTACGCTAGCTGGCTAACGCGTTAGCTGTCTAGCTGACGACGTTCGTTACAACTGCTGCATGTACCGCGGACAAGCAGTTTACCAACTAAGTCACAGTACTCATCGACACACGGTGGTTCATTCCCATGCAGATGTACATTACATTTACGCCAATTATTCACATAGCAGTTACCTGTATGACAGAAGCGTGCAAAATAAAACATCGAAAGGCCGGAACTTTAATCTTCTTCAACGGTGGGATTTTAGGGCGGATTACATCCAACAATGGTGTATTGCTGGCTCCTACTGGATGGGGTGAAAACTATACTGAACAAAAATATAAACGCAACAATTTAAAAGATTTTAATGTGTTATAGTTCATATAAGGAAATCAGTCAACTGAAATAAATTAATTAGGCCCTAATCTATGGATTTCACATGACTGGGAAAACAGAGATGCATCTCTTGGTCACAGATACCTTTTTTTTTTAAAGGTAGGGGTGTGGATCAGAAAACCAGTCAGTATCTGGTGCGACCACCGTTGCCTCATGCAGCGCAACATCTCCTTCGCATAGAGTTGATCAGGCTGTTGATTGTGGCCTGTGGAATGTTGTCCCCAGCACAAAGTGCACTTGTGTAATGATCATGCTGTTTAATCAGCTTGTTGATATGCCACACCTGTCAGGTGGATGGATTATCTTGGCAAAGAAGAAACGCTCACTGACAGGGATGTCAACACATTTGAGAGAAATAAGCTTTTTCTGCGTATGGAACATTTCAGTGATCTTTTATTTCAGCTCATTAAATATGGGACCAACACTTTACATGTTGCATTTAATATTTTTGCTCAATAGCAAGATGACGAAGAAACAATTTAATTCACTCTCCATAACCCCATACTGCCAGTGCCAGCCCATAGCCAAATGTTTATCTAGCTAGCTAACGTTAGCATATCCACTAGTTAGCACAACATAGCTAGCTAAGGACACTGCACTAACTCGGCAGCTAACGCAGGTAGCTGTTTAATGGAAACTAATCCATTGTGATTTCATTATAATGTTAACACTAGCTACAGGTTAGCTAGCTTAGATATAATATTTAGTGTTGTGTACATTACCTCTGTGCATTTAGCTAGCATCCGATAGCCTACATTGCATATGAAGTGTGACTGGCTAATGACATTTAAAAGGAGAAATTCACCCTGGGGGGATCTGGGCTTGTTTTCATCATGTCAGAGGCATTTCTAAGTCAGTGAGATGACATAATTGCCCAGGAGATACACCCTATGATGGCTTATGGTGTATTGTTCCTATCGGCGGATTCATTGCTAAATTTACAAGTGGACACATTTTTTCCAGTCTCTGAAAGATTACAACTCGTGTGTGGCTGCAGTGTTGCCAACTTTGTCGCTATATTTAGCGAGTATTCATACCCCTCTAGCGACACATTTTTAAAAAATCGACTAGCGACAAATGTAGCAACTTTTTCTGGTGTTATTGGAGACTTTTGGAGACTGACGTGAAAGCACGTATAGTTCTTACTCTTCTCAACGAGCAGCAGGTGTGGCCGTGGGCCCCACCCCTGTCCCAAAGCACTCACAGGCGGCCCAGTCCCTCCCAGCTGCAGTCAGAGTAGGAGATGTTCACCCCTCCGCGTCCAGACTGCAAATGAATCGTGCATGTGGGAAGCCGCCGCTGGCTGATCCCGCCCTGGCTTACATTCAGGGTGGGATGTAAAATGTTCTTTGTCTAAAATAAATCACTGCACAAAAATAAATCACTGCATTTGACTCACACAGCCTCAGTCACTTACTCACCTCGTCCACTGTGTGTGCCTCTCTGTGACATAACCTAAACATCTAGCTGGCTAGCACATCATGTCTCAGTCTAAACTGTACACTCAAAAATACAGAAAGGAGTGGGAATCAAACCCTGAATTCAAAGGCTGGTTGAAGCCATTTATTGGAGATGATATACGGGCATACTGCCTGTATTGTAAGGCTGATTTCTATGCCAAACTTAGTGATGTAAAAAAACACATGACAACTCAAAAACATACTCAAAAGGCAAAACCTTATAACAGTTCCACCCAAAACAAGCTGCCATTTATGGTTTAAAAAAATTGACTCTGCAAAAGAGGCTGAGGCCACCATGGCATTAGCTATCGCTGAACACTGTTCCATGCTGGCATGTGATCACATTGGAGAAGCATGTACAGCTGCTTTCTCAGACTCCACTGCTGCTACCCACTTCAAAATGCACAGGACAAAGTGCACAGAAATGATTAATGGTATTCTAGCACCATACTTTCTGATAAAGTTGGTCACAGATGTGGGTGAGCAGCGTTTCAGCCTCCTCCTCGATGAGTCCATGGATGTAAGTGTTTCTAAGTACCTGGGGGTTGTGATAAGGTACTTTAGTGACACCAAGCAGACAATTGTATCAACATTTCTGGGGCTTGATGAGTTGGAGGGAGGAGATGCCAAATCTATAGCCCGTGCTGTTGTGGCTTTCCTCGAGAAGTGTTGTCTTAAAAAAGAGAAACCCCTGGGGATATCGACTGACAATGCCTCTGTTATGACGGGGATTAACAATGGGGTCCATAAAGTGCTGAAGGAGGAGTATGGCCTCGAAGATCTGGTTCTTATTTGCTGTGTATGCCACTCTCTGCAGCTTGCTACAGTGGGGGAAAAAAGTATTTAGTCAGCCACCAATTGTGCAAGTTCTCCCACTTAAAAAGATGAGAGAGGCCTGTAATTTTCATCATAGGTACACGTCAACTATGACAGACAAATTGAGGAAAAAAAATCCAGAAAATCACATTGTAGGATTTTTTATGATTTTATTTGCAAATTATGGTGGAAAATAAGTATTTGGTCACCTACAAACAAGCAAGATTTCTGGCTCTCACAGACCTGTAACTACTTCTTTAAGAGGCTCCTCTGTCCTCCACTCGTTACCTGTATTAATGGCACCTGTTTGAACCTGTTATCAGTATAAAAGACACCTGTCCACAACCTCAAACAGTCACACTCCAAACTCCACTATGGCCAAGAACAAAGAGCTGTCAAAGGACACCAGAAACAAAATTGTAAACCTGCACCAGGCTGGGAAGACTGAATCTGCAATAGGTAAGCAGCTTGGTTTGAAGAAATCAACTGTGGGAGCAATTATTAGGAAATGGAAGACATACAAGACCACTGATAATCTCCCTCGATCTGGGGCTCCACGCAAGATCTCACCCCGTGGGGTCAAAATGATCACAAGAACGGTGAACAAAAATCCCAGAACCACACGGGGGGACCTAGTGAATGACCTGCAGAGAGCTGGGACCAAAGTCACAAAGCCTACCATCAGTAACACACTACGCCGCCAGCGACTCAAATCCTGCAGTGCCAGACGTGTCCCCCTGCTTAAGTCAGTACATGTCCAGGCCCGTCTGAAGTTTGCTAGAGTGCATTTGGATGATCCAGAAGAGGATTGGGAGAATGTCATATGGTCAGATGAAACCAAAATATAACTTTTTGGTAAAAACTAAACTCGTCGTGTTTGGAGGACAAAGAATGCTGAGTTGCATCCAAAGAACACCATACCTACTGTGAAGCATGGGGGTGGAAACATCATGCTTCGGGGCTGTTTTTCTGCAGAGGGACCAGGACGACTGATCTGTGTAAAGGAAAGAATGAATGGGGCCATGTATCGTGAGATTTTGAGTGAAAACCTCCTTCCATCATTAAGGGCATTGAAAATGAAACGTGGCTGGGTCTTTCAGCATGACAATGATCCCAAACACACCACCCGGGCAACGAAGGAGTGGCTTCGTAAGAAGCATTTCAAGGTCCTGGAGTGGCCTAGCCAGTCTCCAGATCTCAACCCCATAGAAAATCTTTGGAGGGAGTTGAAAGTTCGTGTTGCCCAGCGACAGCCCCAAAACATCACTGCTCTAGAGGAGATCTGCATGGAGGAATGGGCCAAAATACCAGCAACAGTGTGTGAAAACCTTGTGAAGACTTACAGAAAACATTTGACCTGTGTCATTGTCAACAAAGGGTATATAACAAAGTATTCAGAAACTTTTGTTATTGACCAAATACTTATTTTCCACCATAATTTGCTAATAAATTCATTAAAAATCCTACAATGTGATTTTCTGGATTTTTCTTTCTCATTTTGTCTGTCATAGTTGACATGTACCTATGATGAAAATTACAGGCCTCTCTCATCTTTTTAAGTGGGAGAACTTGCACAATTGGTGGCTGACTAAATACTTTTTTTCCCCCACTGTATAAGTCATGCTTCCAATGACACCATCCCCCGTAGTGTGGAGTACTTGGTACGAGAGACTTATAACTGGTTTTCAGTGTTCTAAAGCACAGGGAGGCCTACAAGGCCATATATGAGACCATCAACTGTGGGGAGAAACCTTTACAGATAGCCAAGGTGTGTGCCACACGTTGGCTCTCCATTGAACCCGCGGTTTCACACTTTTTGGACCAGTGGGAGGAGCGTAGGCTGCATTTCGCAGTCACCAAGTCCAGTGAACACTGCTACATGGCTGAGGTTTTATACAGTGATCCTCAAAACATATTGTATCTGACTTTTTTGAAGTCAGTGTTGGGTGAGGTACAGTTGGCCATCAAGGCTTTTGAGGAAGAGCAAGTAGATCCTTTTAAACTACTTGACAGCTTGGTTAGCCTGATCAAGTCTGTGAGCAGCAGGGTGCTGAATCCACTGGCAAATGTTGATGTACTCAAAGGGCCAATAGATGGATACATCAGTCCCAAACCGTACCTTGGTTACCTTTTTGAGTCAAAGGCAGCTGAACTCCACCGTGCGCCTGAGGATGAAAACAATGTCCGAAGCGGTGTGTAGCCTTCACCATCTCATTTTTACCTTTACATTTTTGTCATTTAGCAGACACTCTTATCCAGAGCGACTTACAGTTAGTGAGTGCATACATTTTTCATACTGGCCCCCCGTGGGAAACGAACCCACAACCCTGGCGTTGCAAGTGCCATGCTCTACCAACTGAGCTACAGTTAGTCCAATACAACACTCTCGTTTTGCTGTTTGCTTACGTTTGGTTCTTAAACGGTAAATGGTTTCCATAATGAATACATCCCATGGGTGTAATCATTACGCCAATTCTGTTTCAAAATGTTTCGTCTGTTGCAAAATGTTTTACAACAGAAACCGTTTACTCCAAACGGAAAACGCAAAGGAGAGTTTCTATTGAACACATTCAGGTAGGTCCCTCCCCGTTT